CTGCGCCGGGCGCGCGCCCTCCTGGGGCTGGCCAGGACGCAGGTGGAGGGGCGGGGAGGGCTGGTGGAAGCCTCGGTGAGCGGCGGAGCGGGAGACAGAGGCACCCGGCACTTGACCCAGACCCTTCCTTGCACGCAGGCCAAAATTAAGGCTCGGGACCTTCGCGGCAAGAAGAAGGAGGAGCTGCTCAAACAGCTGGACGACTTGAAGGTGGAGCTGTCCCAGCTGCCTGTAGCCAAAGTGACAGGCGGCGCAGCTTCCAAGCTTTCTAAGATCCAAGTTGTTCGCAAGTCTATCGCCGGTGTTCTTACCTTCATTAACCAGACTCAGAAAGAGAACCTCAGGAAATTCTACAAGGGCAAGAAGTACAAGCCCCTGGATCTGCGGCACAAGAAAACACGCGCCATGCGCCACCGGCTCAACAAGCATGAAGAAAACCTCAAGGCCAAGAAGCAGCAGCAGAAGGAGTGGCTATACCCCCCGCAGAAGTACGCGGTCAAGACCTGAGCATCAATAAAGCACAAACTGGCTGACAAAAAAAAAATAGAAAGTGCCATGGTGCCATGGGATAATGAACAACTGACAGATATAATTATACACCAATGTTCATAGAAGCATTGCTGACAACAGTCAAAAGGTAGAAACAAACCAAATGTTAAGCGGCAGATTACTGGATAAACAAAATGTGGTAAAGAAATACAATGGAATATTATTCATCCTTAAAAAGAAATGAAATTCGCCCTGGCTGATGTTGCTCAGTGGTAGAGTGTCGATCCCTGGGTAAGGGTTAACAAAAAAACAAAAAATGAAATTCTAATTCATGCTTCATCATGGATGAACCTTGAAAATATTATGCTAAGTGAATTAAACCAGACATAAAAGAACAGATATTGTATGATTCCACTTATATGAGGTACCTAAAATATAGCAAATTCATAAAGAGAGAGAAGAATGGGCTTTTATTTTCTGTGTGTTTTCATTGTATCAGAAGGAAAAGTCATCTCAGGATTTCTAGAGTTGTGATGGTATAAGTTTGAGGAAATCCTCACTTGATGGTTTCTACTTCTGTTTGAGAGATAGTAGAGAAGGAGGCCCTCTTTTTAAAGTGAGAAGAATGGAAAGTTTAGGTTAAGAAACATTTCGAAATAGTCACTGTGAAGCCTGGCCGGTGTGGCTCAGTGGTTGAGCATGGACCTATGAACCAGGTGCTCAGGGTTCAATTTCCAGTCAGGGCAGATGCCCAGGTTGCAGACTCAATCCCCAATAGAGAACATGCAGGAGGTAGCCGATCAATGATTCTCTCCATGCTTCATCATGGATGAACCTTGAAAATATTATGCTAAGTGAATTAAACCAGACATAAAAGAACAGATATTGTATGATTCCACTTATATGAGGTACCTAAAATATAGCAAATTCATAAAGAGAGAAAGTAAAATAGTGGTTGCCAAGGGCTGGGGGCAGGAGGGATTGGGGAGTCATTGTTTAAAGGGTACAGAGCTTAACTTTTGGGTGATGCAAAAATTTTGGAGATGTAGAGTGGTCATGGTTGCACCACATTGTGAATGTACTTATTACCACAGAACTGTACACTTAAAACAGTTAAACTGGGCCTGGTCTGTATGACTCAGTGGTTGAGCATCAACCCATGAACCAGGAAGTTAGGGTTCAATTTCCAGTCAGGGCAGATGCCCAGGTTGCAGACTCAATCCCCAATAGAGAACATGCAGGAGGTAGCCGATCAATGATTCTCTCTCATCATTTATGTTTCTGTCTCTCTCTCCCTCACCCTTCTTTTCACTGAAAGCAAGTAAGTAAGTAAGTAAATAAATAAATAAATACAATAATTAAATAAAATAATTAAACTAGTAAATATTATGTTACGTAAATCTTAGCATAATAAAAAATAAATAAATTTTTTAGAAAACAACTGGCAGGAGCTGCTTCTTCATCCTTCATGTGAGGTCATCCTAAGGCAGGTGTTTTATGCTACATCCAGAGTTTCCTTGTGAGATTAACCTCTAGTCATGACTGCAATAATTTACTGAATAATGTCCCATCCACTGGCTGCCTTCTCCTCTCTGTCTCACGTGCTTTGTTCACCTACTATTGTTCCCTGTAAATCCCATGTACTTACTTGCACTAAAACTCCTATCTCAGGGTCTGCTTCTGGGAAAACTAAACCAAGACACGTAGGCAAGTTTCTTAACTTCTCTAAATGTTAATTTCCTCATCTTGAGAAATAATATCTGGATCATGGAGTTATTGTTAAGATTAAATGAGATAATTCTTGATGTACTTAGCACAATACCTGAAACACAGTCGTCACTTACTGAGTTTCTTGAATTTCTGGTCCAATAGTTATCTGCCTTTTTGATAAAAGCTAAAGTATGTCTCTCCGTTTCAAGGGCTATTGTTTACCATCTGCTACATCATTAATATCTCCTATGATTTAACATTCACCATCTAACCACAACGGGGATCAAACGGAACTGGAGCCCTAACCTGTTTGGCTCAGTGGATAAAGCGTCGGCCTGGGGACTGAAGGCTCCCAGGTTGGATCCCGGTCAAGGGCATGTACTTTGGTTGCGGGCACATCCCCAGTAGGGGGTGTGCAGGAGGCAGCTGATCGATGTTTCTCACTCATCAATGTTTCTAAATCTCTATTCCTCTCCCTTCCTCTCTGTAAAAAAATTAATAAAATATTTTTTTTAAAAAAAAGAACTGGAATTTTGCATCCAACTCAATCCTTGCCTTAGAAGTGGGTTGAGCCCATGAAGGACATTAGGCAGCTCCCCCATATCAACAAGATCCTCCAAGGCAGACAGACCACCACCACATCCTCCTGACCTGCGGAATTAACTGTACACAACACTTAATTATTGTCCTTCTTTCTTTTTGACTCTGAATCTACCATCGTAGCATCACCAAGGCTTATGATGAGGACTAAGATGCATTTCGTCTTTTCCTGTTCCACAGAACACCAAATGAAACCATGGGATCATAAACATCCATTCAGGTGTATCCTTTGTAAAGGACCATTTCATGTGCTTTGGTTTCTCTTTACTTGTTTGCCAAAATACAGAGAGAATTTTGTTAGCACAATGATCACCTATGCCAATTAGCAAACCAAAGGAATAGGTTACTGACTCTGGTAGACTCTCCTAAATAAGACTAGTGAGAAATCTAAATTCTATTCCTTACTTTTATAGAAAAGACCTTTCTAAATATGTGGTTTTTAAAAGTTGACTACTCTTACAGGTTAAAAAGGAGAGCTCTGTTCCCCAAAACAAATGAATGACAAAATCCTAGATTACATATTGCCCTTTATCGTAATCCCCAAAGCTTTTTTCCAACATTGCTTACCTCCATAGCATTTAACTCTGTTCTTATCCCTCACAACTATTTACAGCTGGCCATCTGAAGTCTAAAGCATGCCCATATTGGGCATGTCTAATGGTTTCCATCTTTGCCTCAAATACATTTACATTACATATATGAGGCTCATACTACTCCCAATATCACTGCCTGCATTTTCCCATTTTCCACTTACTTTTTATAAAATAATCACAAGATTCAAGAAATATTCAAATGATTACACAAATTCTGATACATAACAATG